GTTTCCCCTTCCCCCGCCCCCGGCTTCCCTGTGCTTACCTGGTTGGAGCTGTGAGGTTTTAAAAAAACTGGCACCCAAGATGGTGGCTGTCTTAAAGGGGCAGCCTCCTTTTTTGCTTGACAATTCTGGTGCAGCTCTTCGCATTGTTTTCGCCACTGTTTTGGCTTTCTTTGTTAAATGGGTTGGCCACCCCTGCCACAGGGGTTTCTTGTGCAGGAAACCCCTGTTGCCCGTCTACACTGCCTTTTTGCGGTGCCTTGCAGAAGCCCCCAGCTCCCATCCCCAGGAGGACGTGCTTCCCTGGCCCTCCTCGCTGCCACCCTGACAGGCTCCCTCACGGGTTTGCCAGTTCCCAGGCAGACCTGTTTGTCAGAGCAGTACGGGCGTCACAGGCACTCAGAGCAAACCAAAGGCAGTAAGCCCTAAGACAGACAGATGAGCTGGGGACATCTGCAGCCCTGCAGCCAAGTGATTGGCACTGGAGGGGGCTCCCTTAGCCCGGCTGGCACCAGATCTACAGTCAAGTGCACCCTTGCTGCTCTGCAATCATGTCTGCAAAGAGTTGGAGGGGTCTGCAGCCACGAGCTGTGGTGTAGGCAGGAGAGAGGAGTGTGTGGGCAGTGCAACGGGAGTGACTCTGCAAAGGCCACGGACTTCTCATTCCAAGTTGTTATCCTCGCAGATCTGCTTTGTGACACCTAGAACTAGGAATCCCCTTGTGGGATCCGCTAATTGGATTAATTTCTACTGCTCCTCTCAGCTGGGCTCCCCCCCCCCATTGTGCCCATTTCACAGAGGGGAAGATTGAGGCAGAAACAGAAAGTGATATGCCCACAGCCACATAGTAAATCAGTGGCAAAGCTGGGGCTAACACCACATCCCCATTCCTAGGCTTAGCTTAAGAGAGTCCCAGGCCAGCGGAGACCACTGTGATCATCTTCTCTGGCCATCAGCATAACACAGGTCATAGGACGGCCCCACCATAGTTCCTGGAGCAGATTATGTAGAACAGTGGTCCCCAACCTTTAGAGGCTCCTGGGCACCCGGGGGTGGGGCCACTCACGCGCTGGGTGCCCAGGGGGCGGGGCCGCGCGTCCGGGGGCACGCCAGGGGATGGGGATGCCCTTGCACCCGGCGCCGGTATGTGCCCCAGGGCTGGGGCTGGGGCCGCCCAAGCGCCTTGTGCTGTGGGCCCGGCCCCG